CCCCCTTGATTCCCTCCACCCGGCTCCGGTTCCCTCCCCAGGCCTTCCCTGAACTATTGTCTGTCCACGGGCTATGCACATGTGCATGTAAGTCCTTTGGTTAAGCTCTTCCTGCCCCTCCTCCCATGATTTTTGCTTAATCCTCACTCGAGGATAATTTTTCCATTGATTTTTTAAAAAACAGTGTTTTTATTGATTTCAGTGAGGAAAGGAGAGAGAGAGAAAACATGGATGAGAGAGAATCATTGATGGGCTGCCTCCTGCACGCCCCCTAATGGGGATCCAGCCTGCAACCCAAGCACGTGCCCTGACCCGAAATTGAACTGTGACCTCTTGTTCACAGGCCAACGCTCAACCAATGAGCCACACCAGCCAGGCAAGGAGACAGTGTTTCCGCGTAGAGAATGCACAGCCCTCCTTAGGCTGATTCTTAGGCCCAAGAGTCATCAGCGGACCTTCCTTCTGTTGCACCTGCTGGAGAACAGCGACCATTTTATTTATTTATTATTTTTTTAATCTTTTTTCTAACAGCAACTGATTTTATTTTTTATTTCTTTTTTAAAAATATATTTTTATTGATTTCAGAGAGGAGAGAGGGAGAAGATAGAAACATCCATGATGAGAGAGAATCACTGATTGGCTGCCTCCTGCATGCCCCCCACTGGGGATCGAGCCCACAACCTGGGCATGAGCCCTGACCAGGAATCGAACCTGGGACCCTTCAGTCTGCAGGCCGAAGCTCTATCCACTGAGCCACACTGGCCAGGCCGTGACTGTTTTGGAACTCTGCCTTGGTGGCAGCTTCCTGCTGAAATGTCTTGTTGGTGGTGTTTTCCAGTTGGTCTTCTTGATTCCCCCATGTTCAGGATCCGATGGTCCTCAAGGTGCAATGACTTCAGGGGCCGGGGTTTCTGTCGGAGATCAGACGCCGAGGGCCTGAAGCACAGGGGCCACTTCTCCCTTGTCCGCGAGGCCCCTGTGGCCAGGCACCGTCACCGGCGTGGTCACCTCCCCTCCCTGCCCCCTCCTGCTCTGCCCTCCTTCCCACGTTCCTCACCCCTGCGGCCTGTGTGCCTCAGC